TTTTTCATATTGCACATCGGTGATGCAGTATGGTTTGCTTTTCATATTGCACATCGGTGATGCAGTATGGTTTGCTTTTCATATTGCACATCGGTGATGCAGTATGGTTTGCTTTTCATATTGCACATCTCGAAATCTTAATTCCGTAATCTTATTTTCGAATAATCCGAATCATATCATAGTTCATCATCGTTCTTCTCAAGTAAATGCAAGTGTAATGGATTGATGTAGTTTTTTTTTTTTTTCATTTTTAAAAACCGTCTAACTTCATTGTGAGATCGAAAAATTAGAAGATATGATCTTGTCTGGTAAATCGCGGGGAAATGAGAATTGAAATTCATGAAGGATGTGGAAGAAAGTTGTGAATTTCAAAGATAATCCGTGGCATATCCCGTGAAAAATTATTATTGCTATTATTTATTGAGAAACAAAAAATCAGATGCATACAACAATAATCGAATGATAATCAAATGTTGATAATTTACAATTTTGATGATTAAAAATGCATTGAACAGTTCCTGCAATCATCAATCAATGCAGCAAAGTAAAAAAAAAAAATTAGAAATTATTTAGAATAGAAAATGTGATTAAGCAAGCATGCCATTTTTGAATCATTCGATAAAATGCCGAATAAGTTCCATTGGTAGCGGAAAAATTATCGTCGAATTTTTTTCGGCACTAAATTTTTTTATTTTAAAAGAAGAAAATTAAAAATCAGATTTAATCATTAGTATTAAACAGCAAAGAATTCTTATCAAATTTGAACAAAAAAATATTGAAATATTAAATTTTAAGATCGGATAACATACTAGTTCTTCGATAAATGATCTTTTTATTTAGAGAAATTCTTTTTCTTTTTTTTTTTTAAATACTTACGCGACACTACTGAGTGTTTGCAGATAGCGTAATTGTAGTGCTGCAGGCGATTTTGATATAGTCAGTGCTGCTTCCTGCAAGGAATGTGATGCTTTTTGTTCACCCTCTGCTGCGATAACCTGCAAAATGTTGCAGTGATATTCGAAATTGGTGTACAAATATGACATCAAAAATTCGTGAAAAATGTTAACAAGTGAAAAGTTTAGAGTATATACTTGAAAAAAAAAACTAACAATTATGGTCTTAGGAAAGGCCTTAAAAGGAGTTAATTAAATTTAAAACAAAGGTTAGTTTAAAAAAGCAGGCAGTTTAAAATATATCGCTCTATAAAAATGTTGAAATATTTCAAATAACAACAATTCCTTTTTCTCATTAACTTTTTAATATTAGTTAAATAGGGTTAAAGGTAAATCTTTCACAACTCTTCTCAATCATATATTGTATTGCTACGATTTCTAATAAGATTTTTATTTTCTTTAATTATTGACGATAAATAAGGTAAGAGAGATGAAACCTTTGCTCTGGCTTCACGAGTTGCTTCCGCTTCAGCAGCCATCGCACGCTGTAACTGGACCGGAAGACGGACATCTTTTCTGAAATAGCAATAGCATTTTCTGAGGAAAGATGATGAGCGATGAAATGACATTATTTCATTTAGGGTCAGATAGAGTATTGTAGGATAATAGCGCGAATGAGTATGAATAGTTTGGTGGCGCAAATGGTTGCAAATAGTTGATGGATTGTATACGCCATCATAGATGGTTGATATCGATAACAGAATAGCAAATACATTTCCTATAAACTCTGCTTGCCGAGTGATTTTTCTTTTTCTGTTTTTTGATTCAATTTGAGGAAATAGCTTAGGAGAAGTGAATTGATTTGTGCTAAAAAATGGATGATGATTTTTTTTTCTTGATGAACGATTTGTTTGTTTTAGAAATAGCTTTCTACTAATCAATAGTAAGAAACAATAAAACAATGTACATTTCAACTCTTTCGACTTTAATTCCCCACCTTTCCGTGACATCATCCAGAAGTACCTGAAAATTAAACTAATAATTGTGATCAATAATTAGGTAATGTATTGATTTAAGCTCTCATATGAAAGTTTAATAGGAAAAATATTTGGTATACTTTTGAAAATATATTTTCAAAATAAAAAAATTCAACAATCATTTCGAATGCTACATGATGTCAAATGAAATTTTATATATTAATTTTAAAATATTCTATAAAGAAAATGTGATCTGAAAGAAAGTGACATTCTTGACTATACCTTATGACTAGCCTAAAATGTTATTAACATTTCTTTGAGTTATTTTAAATCTTGAAGACTAATCTTTTATCTCTGTTATCTGTTTTAATGATATTTTCATTGCATAAAGTAATTAATTAACCTGCATAGATAGGGCGATAGCATCACGATCGGATAAAATTTCCGATAAATTTTTGGTACCAAGCATATTACGTAATGTTGTTTGTGCTAGTAATCTGGTAGAATGATGAACATTTTCTACATTTGCCACTGATATAGTAGCATTACATATCCGATAGTATACTACAGCATCTACGCTTACCGTTACAGAATCTTTTGTTAGAATCTAAATAACAGATAATTCTGAATCATTATGAAAATAAAAGAATAAAATTATAAGAAGACGTTATCATAAAGATATTAATGATTATTTGTTTATCAATAGTGTTGTTGTAATAATTTATCTCTTATTAGCTGGTTCTCACTAATTTATAATTACTTTTTTCTTACTTTTTTTTTTTTGTCAACAGTTGTCAGATCAAAGTTTCAAGAACACAGTCATATATATGTAATATATTTTGTTGATTAATGACACATTCATAAGCTAATTTAATTAATCAGCTAATCATGCAGTCATCTTCAGGACGAAAAAAAACACTGAGATAACTAATATAATTAATTACCAGTAAAATTAATAAAAGTAAATGAATATGAGTAAAATAATATATACCTCCTGCGGTGGTACATTAAATGATACTGTACGTAAATCCACTTTAGCATATGTTTCTACGCATGGTAATACAAAAAATATTCCTAAAATTAGCATTCAATCATTAATCACTCATAAACAATCACATCCTACCATTTGAATCCTCAATAATATAAAACATTTTTGTTGAAAATTTTCTAGTTATAAATATAAAAGAAAAAAAATTTTTTTTTTCAACTATACCTGGACCTTTTGCGCCACCTCCAATTAACCTACCCAATCGAAATATTACAGCTCTTTCATATTCTCGTGCTATCTAAATAATCTTTGATTAATCATTTCATTTAACATTAAAAAAATGATTCGCTCCTTCATTTTTTTCTAATCCTAAAATTTTCACTTTTCTTTTCTCAAGAAAAAAAATAATTTCTTAACTGAAACAGACAATATTTTAAATATAATCAATTTCTAAATTTGACAAATAATCTAGTCAGTCGAAGAAAGAATTGTTACCTTAAGACAGAAACAAACAGATATGGGAAATGTGGAAAAGAGTATAATCCAGGTAAGCATAATGAAAAACCATCCGCAAAATCCAACGCTGCTATCATATGTATCAGCTAGAATTTGATTAGCACTTTAACAAAAGAGAAAAAAAAATTTTGTAAATAAACAAAAAGGAAATATATTTGCTTTTTAATTTAAAAAAAAAAAAGAAATTTTCTAAAAAAAAGAAAAAAAAAGAAATTTTCTGAAAATTTTGCAAGAAAAAAATTTGCTAGAAAAAATGCAATATTATTTTTAATTTCTAATTATTTAATTGGTCGTTCATTTATTTGTGTTTTTTGTATAAATTAAAGAAGCAAATAATTATTGTAATATCAAGTAAGCATAATTTGCTATGTAAATAATTAATGAGAGAAAAAAGAAACTAAATTTAATGGAAATGCTCGAAATGAAAGCGAAAAAAAAAAACATACGACAAACAAAAAGTTCAAGTCGACAGGATTTTGTTTCTTAGATTGTTTTTAATAAAAATATGCCTATTTTGTTTATACTTTTTTTTCAGAAAAAAAAGAAAAAAATCATCTAGTTTTTCTCAAGAGATAAAAAGTTGGAAATTTTGTTAGAAAAAATTTCATGAAAATGATGCAGTAAGTTTCAGTCTTGCAATTTATTTGTAGTGGTCATTTATTTTGTAATGGTCATTTAGTTTTTCATTTATTTGTAGTGAAGTAAGTTTCAATTTGTCATTTATTTGTCTTCACCCATCACATATTTTTCTGCATAACATTTAGAACTTTTAACTTTTTCCTCTGTTTACTTTAATAATATTTACTTTTTACTTTGTTGTAATACTAAAAAACAAGCAACCTCAACAACTATCTGGATGAATTGCAATTGTCACACAAATAAATTGCATTGAAATTTGCGGTCAAATGATATTTTGCATTGTTGAAAGAAAAGTTTTGAAATTTTGTTGCAAAAGATTTATATAATTCGTTTACGAATAAATAATTTAACAAATTTGAAAATAAAAAAAAATGATACTAATCTTTAAATTTATTTCTTTCCAAATAATACACAAAATAAGGAAATAGCTATCTATCATTCACTGAAACCTATATTGCATGCAAACTTTACTGCATATTACTTTACTGTGTTATTTAAGTTAATAGCAATTGATGAATTGTTTCATTCACTTTTTTGCATGTTTATACCATCTTCACATTGATATTTTATCAATAAATTCTATTTTCGTAATTTGATTGCATGCAATTCTTGGCCTAGAATTTATCTACATGCAATTTCTGTCCTAGCCTTTATCTGCACGCAATTCCTATCTAGCTTTTATCTGCATTTCATCTACACGCAATTCCTGGCCTAGCTTTTATCTACATGCAATTGTCCTGGCTCTTATCTGCACGCAAATTGTAGCCTAAAAGATGAAATATAGGTCGAACATATTAAAAAGAGCTTTTATATGCCTGGCCTAAATTCCATGTTTTCTACTACAAAGCTCCCCAACTTTTGGAATACATTTGTGAAATTTAATTGTATGATTAAATTAAAGCAGTGGAAGAATAAAAATTTTTCTAGCATTACAAGTGCAAATTAATACTATTTCAATTAACGGGGAAATAGGTATGTTACTGTTTGTGCTACTTCATCATGAATTGAAATTAAATTTAAACTGAAATATCAATGTTTTACATCTCACTCTGCAACTCTTATGAAATTTGGATAATTTGAGAAACTTATTTGCAACTATTTGGAAATTAAAAATAATTGAAAACTTATGAGACTAAAATTTGTTACTTTAATTTCATTCAAAAACTATCAGATAACTATTTCATTTCCAGTTAATAGTTGTCAAGTACTAAAATGCATGCATGAGAATGTTTTCATTGATAATCAAATGTGACAATCGATTTTAGCATTTTGTCAAGTATTCTCATTCAAGCATAAATATTTAGTTGAATTGTGGAAAGCGAAATATACAATGAGATGAATATTTCGTGAAAATAATATGAAATGCTCAAATTTCAACTTTTCATCATAAACTATATCATTAAGGCTGTATATGCAATTTTTCAACATTTAACTTGAAAATATATAATCGACAATCAGCCGAGAGGAAATTTAAAAATGATTAAATGAAACAGTTGAGCATAAGAATGGTAATTTTGATTTAATGACAGCTTAATGTTAACTAATCACGAATGTATTTCAATTCTTAAACTGGAAGGAAAAATAATCCAGAAGGAGTAAATGATGACATATGACAAAGATATTATTTTCATCCGTCTGCAAAACAACTCTCGTAACTGAATAATTAGTTTTTTATTTGACAAAAAATGTTTAGGAAAATTTATTAAATGATTCAAAAAATTATAAATAGCACTGAAAATTCAGTTATTCCCATTTATTTATTGAAATAAACTTCCTGTTGATGAAGTGACTTGCTAATTGAGTCTGTTGCTTACGGCGTAATTAAGTATTCAAGTTACAACATAATTTATTAATTAGCATAAGAATCAACACGTAAGTATTATTGTTAGCCAATGACCTTAATAGAGCTATTTTAATTGTTATACTGATCTTATTGATGATTATATGAATGCTTCAAGTGTAATCATATGTTAATCAGCTATAATCAAGAATGTAATCAGAAATGATGATAAACTTACGATGGGCGTTTTTTGGATAATATGATAATTTCAGTTGTGCTAATGACTGTCGCCTAAGTTCACGTTCCTCTTTAGCAAAAATTAATGGATTGAGAGTAAATCGTCGATTCATTCGTCCGTTAAATAATTTTTGTCTTTCGGAATCATTATTCATATTGTAATCCGAATCTTTATCACCCGTTAATCTTGCACGATCTGAAAATTCATCCCAACTTTACGATCATTATCATTTTCTTTTCTGGATCAAATTGAGAGTAAAAGATGAAAATAGAAATTGTGATAATAGATTACAAATCCACCACATTGCGTTGATGATATCATTTACGTTGATGATATATGATATATGATATCACATATCACTAAGCATCAGCTGTGTGCTAATGTTTTGTTTTAACAAACCAATATTTCGTTTTCATGTGCATTTAATTTAATTATCGCAAGTTGAAATAGCAAAAAATAATTGACAAATGAGTTAATTGTCTTTAATTAATCTGAAAGAATATTATTGGTTGCATTTTATTGCATTCAAAAAAAAAAAAATTTCTGAAATTCTTTTCAATAATGATTAGCAGAAAAAAAAAAATAACCATTCATTTTTTTTTAAATTTTCCATTTCTCCATTTGCAATATAATGTCGTAATTGGAAATTGAATTATCAAAAATGGATACTTAGCCAATATCATCAAAAGCAGTAACAAAATAAATAAAAATTAGAAAGAGAATGATAGATGAGTGATTAGAAAAGTAGAAAAAAAAAAAAAAAGTAAGACGACAAAAAAAAAAAGTAAGTATGAAGGATGAAAATGATTGTTTAAAAGTGCCTAAAATGATTATATATATTCAATAGAATCGATATGTATAAAAAAAAAAAACTATTTCTTTCTCTATTAATCAACAAAAATGAGTATTTGAATTTTTTGACTGAAATAATGAATTCAGAAAAATTAACCTAAACAAATAAACAATTCCGGTATTAGTCAAAAAAAAAAAAGGAAAACATACGCATTTTTCCTGATACTTGTCTATTTGTGCAAATGTTAATGAAGTAAATTCTCGTGTTTCCTCTTTTTCCTCAATAGCGATAAATGAATACTTTAAGTGATATTGCTGAAAAAGTAAAGTAAAATTTTCATGGATGATTTTATTTAAACATTAAAATATATTTAACATTTGGTTGCTAACTTTTTGCAATATGAAAAATGAAGAAAAAGCTAATGGAATAATTCATTTAGTTTATGAATTTTAATTAATAATTTAACAACATGTAATATCACGAATGATATATTTAACAAACACATCGATGGTTTTTCTTTTCTTCTTTTCTAAAAATTTTTACAAACTGCAAATATTTAAATCAAATTTTAATGCTAAAATAATTTGGTAAGCATTAGTATTGAAAACAAAGCAATAATATAATGAATTAATGCAACAAATTTAAATGAGTAATTTGCATGAAACTATTTAATCATTACTGATAATAATGAAATTATTTGATTTCAATTTTTATTTCTAATCACACATTGTTTATCCTATTTTCTAATCAATTTATTTCAAAATCAAAGATTACGTTTGCATGCTAACGTTTAATTTTGAAGTAATTAATCAGAGATCTTTTTCATTACTGAAGCTTAAATTTAACAAACAGTCCTTCTCTTTCGTCTTGTTAATTTTAAAATGAAAAAAAAAAAATTATTGAAGAAAAAATTAGCAAAAGCAATGAAGTTGACAATAACCGGCATACTACACCTTTGTTAGCATTAATAAATTCTAAGAGGCGTGACATTTTACTAATTGTTATTCAAACAATCATAAATTATTAACCATAGTAACCTTTCCCCATCCCTCAAACTTGCTTATCGATATATTCAAATATTTTTGGCCAAGTATTTCAGACATATTTACTTTGATGTGTCGTCTGCTAAAGTTAAAAAAAAATTCATAAATTTTTTTTAATTCTCTGTTTAAAATTATTTTCACTCAGTCATCTTCCCCTATCTCCTTCTAATCATTTGTTATAATTTATGAATGTTGTATTATTTGTATTATAGCATTATGCTTGTATCATATTATTTGAGTTATATCACTATGCTTCTATCATATCATATCACCATGTTTGTATCATATTTGTTTCATATTATTTATGTCATATCACTATGCTCGTATCATATCATATCACTATGTTTGTGTCATATCATTATGTTTGTATCATATCATTATGTTGTTTATTTTTTAAATAATTCCATGCTAAAAAAAATAAGAAATAAGGAAGTACGACAATTGTATCAAGTAATTTAAGAAAAAAAAAAACGTTGAAAAATAGTAATGAATTGTTTTAGGTAATTAAGTATTATAATTTTTCATATCAATTAATTGGCCAAAATTATTACAAATTATAAATACCATTTATATAAATGATATAATTGATACTAATAATTCCGATTATCATAAGATAAAATTATGGAATGTATACAACAGTAAAAGTAATGAGAGCCTAATAATTCTAATAATAATCTCTGTGATTATCCTAAAAGTCTCATTTTAAAACTTTACTCCCTTTCTCTCTTTCCTTCTCTCTCTCTCCCTCTCCCTTTCTCTCTTTCTTCCTTCCTCACTCAGCAACAACAAACTTTTATAATTATAGCTTTCCAACACGAAATGTTTATGGTGAATAATGAAAAAATAGCAATAATCACTTAATGAGTAACTTGTCAAAAAAAAAAGATGTAATTATCTGTTAATTGCATTTTGAAATTACTGTAGAAAAGAAAAAAAATTTTTTTTTTTACCGTTTCTTTTCATAGGAATAGAAGATGTAATAGAATAATAGAATTTCTAAAATAAAAAAAATTCAACAAGCTATTAGATAAAGTGTGATAGAGTAGCATAACATACATTTAGCAATGCTTTAACAAATATCAGTTTACGGTAAAAAAGTAAAATTAAAATTATCAACAAGGAAAATATTATAATTTTCTTTTCTTTCACACATTCAAATTCCACAGGGAATAATCGTTCATTTATTTCATTTTAATGCATTTAATCATTAAATTAATTTAATTCAGTCTAATATCAGCTATCCGAATTAATCGATCATTTCTATATGTTTCAAGGTGATACTGTAAAGTTTGTTACCTCAAAAATTTCGCATAATAATATCGTACTACTTCATGCACCGTAGCATTTACCATATTTAATAGCTAACCTGCAGTATCATCACTAGGCTAATATAAGTAACAATGCAAGTTGTTCCAGATTTACATTTGCAATAAATACGACAAAATCAATTGCAAAAAAAAAAGAAATGGATTTAATTAGAAAAATTAATTTTTGATTATAGCATGTAATATTTAACATGAACACGTGACATGTCAACTATTTGCACTAGCCAATCTATTTTGAGTGAAATATAATAATCAAACATGAAATGTTTAGTTTATGTTTCAACTAACTTTTTTTTCCTCGTTTAATTTGCTTGCAAATAAAAATTTCAAATTAATGAAGCTGAAAAATATGGAATAATTTTATTAATGAAATTAATGCATGACATTTGGTTATATATGACAATGACAAGTATTTGAAATGTATTTAAAAACTTAAATAAGTAATATAAAGGAGAAAATAAAATGATATTGATCGAGTAATTTACATTATATCAAAAATACTTTTATATTATATTTGAATGAATTCCACAATTCCTTCTTTTCTTATATCACACAAAAGTTTAATTAGCATACCGAAAAACAGGTAACCATATGTTTTGCGCTAATTAAACATTTAACATATATTTAAGAATTTTTTACTTAGAAAATGTTACAGTATTATTCAAATTTTCCTTCATTTGCTAAGTATTTTTGCAGTTGAATTATTACATCTAAACGAAATTATTTAATCAAATTCATATGAATGTAAATTAGTTGTATTATTCAAACACTTTGGGATAAGTAAGTTATTTGAAGAATAATTAACTTTATATTTTGACATGAATTTGAAATAAGCTTTGGTAATCTTTTGAAAAAAAATATAATTAAAAAGGTAAGCAAATGAAAATTAATTATGCTATGAGAACCAAATTTTATTAACCATAAAGTTAAAAGGATGAAATTGATGTTTTGATAAAATTATTTGAATAAATCTCTGATATAATTGTTTGATTATTTTGATATTATTTAAAGCTAAATTTGCAAATTTGTTTGCTAATATCTTCTACTAACAGATAAATGATTAATCTTTTTTCAATCAGTTATTTAAATAATAAATTGAAAAGCAATTCATTTTATTAAAAAAATAAAAAAGTAAAAAAGAAAATATAAAAAAAATATTACTTTCGCACTATCAGTTGACGCATATTATGATGATAGAAGCAACCATTTGATAGAGACTGAAAATTTTTTCAATTTAATAACAAAATATTTTATTTAACTTGATTTTTTCCTATTGAATGGATGTGAATAGCAGTTAGGCAAGTAATTCGAAGTGAATCACCCGCGATATCGAGGTAAGAAAGTATATGAAGTTTGATGCATTATATATCGATATTATCATATGGAGCAATGCAACATAAAACCATAACTTTAATACTTGAACTTGATATTTGATATATTTTAAAACAAAAACAAAAACAAAACTACTCAGCATTATTTTAAAATTATCGTCAATATTAATTATCGTTTGTAAATGAAATGTCGCAATGCTAAAAATTCGACCGATTGAGGGTCTAAGTTTTTTCTAAAATATCTAAAGAATTTGACAAGATAGGAATTATTTGGCATTGCTTAAAAGAAATGTTGTGACTAAAAATGAAATTACGATTATTAGTTTTGGATATTTGGACAATTTTTTTTTTCTTTCTTCAATTTATTCTTGTATGTTATTCTAGCAAAATTTATAATTTTACAATCATTTCATTTGAAATTAATATGTAAAATGATGATATGAACGAATTTAGATTTGGCCTATCTTTGTGATGGCAAAGTTTGGAAGTGTTTGATTTATTTGCTAATTATTGAAATGATTAAAAAAAAAGAAAAGAAACTGAAGGAAAGATAAAAGGAAATTTGAGTGAGCAATGAATAATTTGTAAACCAAGAAATGCACTTTTTGAATAATAATTCATTCTGGTATTATTTCAATCTTCTAAAAGCAAAATTTTGAAGAAATAAAGCAAACGATTTATCTTTTTATGCTAAGATATTTCCGATTGGAAACACTTTCCTTTTTTTTATTTCTTTTAATAAATTATCGATTAGCTAAAAGCATAAAATTGCTAATTTCAATGTCATATCTTTTCCTTTTTTTTTTTTAAAAAAACATATTTCCATAATTAATCAAATCAGCAAAAAAACGTAATTGAATTGCATGGTTTAATTAAATCACAACA